TTCCATTCTCATACAAACAGTAATGGGCGGATGTAACATATGAAAAATAAAAATCGGAATAGAAGTAAGCACACTTTTAATCAAAGTTAATCTACCACCAAACGAAAGAAAGTTCGACGACCAGTTAAGAAATTTCCTTTGAAATATGGAAAAAATACTATCAAAAAGGAAAGACCTTTTACGACCTTTAAAAAGAGGAGTTCCAAGGTATTTAATAGGAAGAGAAGAAGGGCTAAAGCCACAAACTCTTTTGATCTTCCCCAACCTACCAATGTTCACAGATTTGCCAGTAATAAAGTTACTCTTATCGGTATTAATGGATAAGCCACTAATATTCTGAAAAGCAGCTAAAAATTGAGTAATAATTTTTACATTTTTAATAGATGCATTGGAAAATATGATAAAATCATCCGCAAAACTAAGGTGAGTAACAGGGAAACCCCCAAAAGTGCGGAAATTAAGACTGGGATACATTCTATAAAGTTTCTCAAGCCCTCTAGAAAGATATTCCATAGCAATAATAAATAGAGATGGGGATAGAGGGTCCCCTTGTCTAAGGCCGTGCTTAGAATTAAAAAAACCATGATTACTACCATTTATGATAACAGAAAAAAAAAGCAATATTCAATGCTATTTTTAATCAGCAACACAAAATTTGATTGAAACCCAACATGGATAGAATATTGTAAAGAAAATCCCAATTTAAATTATCATAAGCCTTAGTAATATCAAGTTTAAAAAGAATATTACCACCAGTCCCTTTAGCATTGATATCATGAACAATCTCTTGAGCTAACAAAATGTTATCAAAAATGCTCCTGCCTTTAACAAAACTAGTTTGGTTAGAAGAGATATTAGGTAAAATTAACGATAATCTAGAAGCAATGATTTTGGACACAAGCTTGTTAAAAAAAGTGCAAAGACTAATAGGTCTAAAATCATTCCAAAAAGTTGTGTTATCTTTCTTAGGAATAAGCACCATATTAGTAGAGGTAAAAAATTTTGGGTAAGGATTACCTTTAAAGAAATCCTTCACAGCCTCAATCACATCAATTTTAATAATATCCCAAGCTTTAATAAAGAATTTCGTAGTAAAACCATCCGGCCCAGCCACCGAATCCACATTCATATCATTAATAATGTTCCAAATCTCATCTTCCATAGGTAGTTTAGTAAGCAAAACATTATCAGTATCATTAAGCAGCTTAGGAATCACATTTGAAATAGGAATAGGACTAGTAATATTACTCGTAGTGAAATTTTTTTTAAAAAAATCAACACCAGAATTCCCAATAGACTAATTCGTATCATAAACATCACCATTGTTATCCACCAACCTATTAATGTGACTTTTAATTCTATTTTTATTAGCTAAAGCATGAAAAAAAGCAGTGTTTCTATCCCCTTCCAAAAGGATGGAAGAAGAAGCCTTCTGTTTCCAGAAAATTTCTTCCTGATCTTGCAAATTAAAGAGATTAAGTTTGGCATTATCAAGATTAGAATGATTGGTATCAGACAGATTCTCTTGATAAACATTGTCCCACCTTAGAACATTCTCTTCCGCTTCCTTAATATTATCAAAAATATTTTTTGAAAACATGCTTATTCCACCATCTAAGAAGTTGTTTAATTCTACTCAACTTAGCCCAAAGTCTAGACATACCATGAACATTGTTGTCGGGAAAAACATTGGCATGCCAATTGGCAGAAATAACCTTAATGAAATCAGAGTGGTTAATCCACATATTCTGAAATCTAAAAACTAAAGAGGGCATAACTTTATTAGCAGAGACATACATGAGAAGAGGCGCATGATCAGATAAAGTTCTACTCAAATGATGAACTTTAGTAGATTGAAATTTGCTAACCCAATCATTATTGAACAGAATTCTATCAAGCCTCTCGCCCTAAGCGCCGCTCGAGCGATTTTAGGGTTTCTTCTTGCTTTCGCTGTTCGATCATTTCTGGAGTTTCTCTGTGTGTTTTTGCTCGGATCTACTTCGTTGCTGGTGCTCGTAAACTGACTTCGGCCCTTTGGGCCAGTTTGCGATGGCGGGAGCTTCTTCCGCTACGCCTTGGGGTAATGTTACTTCTAAGGCTCAAGATGCAAACAAGGGGTTTTTTAATCCTGATTCGGAGGCTAACTCTCCTACTAAATCTCGGTCATTTAAAGAAGTTTTGTCTGGTTCGTCAGGTGATACCCTAACTTCACTCACTCAATCTACTTTTAATGGGGTACCGGCTGTCTTAATATCTGATGATGATGTTTTAAAGCTTGCATCTCCATTTCGTTTTACTTTGGTCGAGAAATTTGGTATCCGGAGACCTAACCTAAATGCGATTCGCTCTTTTTTCGGTAATCTGAAGCTTTCGGGATTTTATTCGGTAGGTTTGTTAGATTCTAAACATGTGGCGATTCAACTTTCAAATGATCTGGATTATAGCCGTGTTTTTGCCCATAGATCGTATTTTATACTCAACTGTCAAATGCGTATTTTGAAATGGATGCCATTTTTTGATGTCAAAGAAGAGTCCCCGATTGTTCCTATTTGGATCTCGTTTCCGAACTTAAGACTTCATTTTTTTAACTCTAAGATTTTACATGCCCTTGGTGCTATTTTTGGCCGTCCCCTTCAGACGGACCAGGCTACAGCTTCAAGAACCCGTCCTTCTGTAGCTCGGGTATTAGTTGAGGTTGACATAACGAAAAAGCATGCGAAGGAAGTATGGGTTGGCTCCAAAGCATTTGCTTATTTACAAAAAGTGGAATTTGAGAAAGTACCGGATTTTTTCAACCATTGTAAACCACATGGTCATGCTATTTTTGAATGTTTTAAACTCCACCCGGAGCACAAGAAGGTTTCCAACAACTCCATTGGAAAGGTGGAAATTGTGAGTGATACTAATAATGAAATCGAAAATTTGGATCCGTCTAATCCGGTGGATCCGGAAATGAACCTTCCCAATGTTCAGATGGTTGGGACTACCTCTACTACTGCTCCGGATGAATTTTTGCTATTAGAAAAACCTCTTAATATTTCTCCAGAGAAGGATTTATCTGTGGGTAAAAATGGTGAAGATAGTGAAGTTATTCCTGATATTTTTATATCTGTTGACTCTATGCTTCAAAAGGATGATGTTCCGAATTTCTTGCTTAATAGTGAAAAGTGTGAAAAAGGCAATGAGGAGATGGAGGAGTGTGAAGAAGGGGAAATTATAATTGGGAAAAACTTTGTGGCTCTAGCTAAAAATTCTGTTGAAAAGGAAAAATTGGTTGCTCAGACGAATGTTTCCTCTTCTACTGCCGTTCATAATGTTTCTAAACAGATTGAGGAGGGATCTCCTTAGATTAATAAGAAAAAAAAAAAGAATGGTAAAGCACCGTTATCGGAGACACCACGTTCCACTAGGGCTCAAGCTAATACCAAAGGTTCTAATGATTAAAGCCCTGATTTGGAACGTGAGAGGGATTGGGGGGTTGGATTCTAAAACCAGGGTTAGGAACTTAAGGCGTGTTCACAACTTTCAATTGTTGGTTATGCTTGAACCTTTTATTGCTTCTGATAAAATTATTTCTACTGCTTCTAATTTGGGGTTTAATAGTAGTTTTGCAAACTGTTCTAACAAAATTTGGATTTTGTGGAAAGATTCTCTTATTGTCAATATTATTTCGGATTTTCAGCAAGTTATTCATGTCCAAATTTCTTATAATAGTTTTAATTTTAATGCTTCTTTTGTCTACGCGGCTTCCACTAGAGTGGGTAGAACTCCTCTTTGGGGGTGTCTATCGGATTTTGCTCAACACTCTACTGGTCCTTGGTGTGTTGGTGGGGATTTTAATATCATTTCGCATGCGGGTGAAAGGAGAGGGAGCAATCCTCCTAATGTGGGTGCTATGGATGATTTTAATGATATGATTTCTAATTGTAATTTATCTGATATTGGTTTCTCTGGTAGTAGCTTTACTTGGAGCCGTGCTAATATATTTACACATATATATACATATATATAGATATATATAATAAATTTTTGATTTTTTTATTATTAATTAATATTAATCCTTATTCTAAAACTATGAAATGTTGAATCTATTTCATTAGTTGTATTGATAAATTTAACATTAAAATTTGTATATATATTTTCACTAACAATAAGGAAAGCACAGTTTGTTTTGTATAATAATTTAGTCTTCTATTTTTTAAATTCTAGCAATGAGCACATGCAATAAATTTGTTAAAAATAAAGTGTAATCCCCAAAAATTAACTAATTTTTTAACAGAATAAAACATATATACTATTTAATAATTTTTATTAAATATCAAATAAACTAATTTAATAATGTGATGACTATAACAGTGAGGGCCATCCATTGATTTTAGTTATTGCTCTGTTTATATCAAATGTGAAGACAACATCATTAAAAAATATTTGTTTGATTGCTCCTGTTACCTATTTTTTTGGAGTGATGATATGAATGATATGAATGCTTGCTTACTTTGGTGCTTGTCTTTTATGATTTTGTGTTGTTTTTCTTATTTGATTTGCCTTTATAGGGGGTCCTAAACTCTCAGGTTTTATTTCAAAATGCTATTTTTTTGGCAAGCTTTCGATTCTCTTAGAACTTGTAATTTTTATTATCATTAACTGTTGTGAGCTTTCTCCAAAAAAAAAAAAAAAGTGACAAATCTTAGATTTTTGAATAATATTGATGGAAGTTTATATTTTGTTTGAGATAATTTTATTATTATCTTAAAAAATAGTAATAAAACAATTCTAAATTAATGATATGCTAATAAATTTTATCCCACCAATAAAATCAGCCCCATGATTTACTACTAGGTTATATTGTACTTTGTAATTGAGATATCACACTAAAACATGATTTCATTTCTCATGACAAGCAAAGCAAAATCATCAAAAAAAAGTTTAGAAAAACTTACCTATAAAAGGTTAAATTTAACAATTATATGAAATGTTTAATGTGATAGCACAAATCTAGCTTAGTCGATAATAATGGAAGAATTAATGCTACTTCCAACTTTAGTAGCTGGTAATTCTCCACTGAGAATCTGAACTTTGAACTTCAGTTCTTTGTTATCCATTAGTTCAAACACACAACCATCTCCAATCATTAAATTATTATCACTCACAAATTGTTTCCATCCATCTCTTATAACCTTTATACTCGGGTACCATTTAACAAACCATTCCTTCCCTCCGTAACAAAGTGCAATCCACGCTAAAGATGGTGGAAGAAACTGATGAATTTTTTTTGGAATATCCTGAAAAAGAATTAGCATTTTATTAGTTTAATTAAAGAGGAAACATTCTATTTTGCTTGTGCACGAGACATGATTAATAATGATTTATTCTTCAATATCCTTTCTATTTTCTTTAAGCAAAATAAGCCAGAAAGTTCAATCTGTCAAATCAAAACTAAAAAGTTCAAACCTCTCATTTATATATTGTAGCTCCAATGACTTATTCAGTTATCTAATATGACATTGATATTTTTTCTCAAGAATAACTTTAAATCCAGTGACACATTTGTAGCCTGGTAGGTAAAATTAATATTTGATCAACAAAGAGAAACTTTATTTATTTATATATATATATATATATGTATATAGATTATCACTCTTAATATATATATATATATTAAGAGTGATAATCTATTAAATGTCTGAAAGTAAGGTAAAACAGTCAATTTGCATTCAACGATGCATCTAAACATGGTATAATCAAAACTGTTCCTTTTTTCAAATTAAAAATGTTCATACAAATCGAATTGAATATGGTGGATACATTGAAAGCTAAATATCGCTATTTATTACAATAATTCTCAACGATAAGTTATTTTATGTTCTGATACTGAATTAGTCTGCACGTTGTATGTTTCTGGGCAAACTTAAAAGGATAAGGAGAAATTAGGCAAAAGTATCTAATCAAAGATATCGATGCAAAGGAGATCAAAAAATCTTCAAATGAAATATATATATAGCATGTATGGGCGGAACCAGTCTCTAATTTCTAATTTCAGGATGGGCAAATTTTGCATATAAATAGACTATTTTTAAAAATAAAATAAAAACATAATTCAAAACAAAATCTTTACGATTGATTAGAAAATTTCGATGAAAAATGAAGAACAACGAAGAATGGATGGAAAAATTTTTTCTCGCTGATTTTTTTCTCGATTTGATAGGAAGCTTTCAGACAAGCAAAGAGATAAAGCAAGAGAAGAATTCAGACTTAACAAAATAATGAACTCCAAAGAAAGTTGGAACACATTTTATTAGAAACAATATCTCAGATCATCACATTCTTAATATTCAAGAAGAAGTTCTATCAAATCATGTGAATAGCTCAGATAATAAAATAATCACATGCTTCATATTCAACATCAACTTAAGGGAAAAAAAAAACTAATAAGCTTAAAAGCAGCACCCCACGCGTTTCAGAATCTGTAGAGAGATAGGAAATATGATTTAAGTAAAAAGCGCTAACGTTGTGATCACTGAAGTATTTATTACTTTAATCTCCTTCTTCTCATGCGGTCATGCCTCTTCCACAACGACCGCCAAAAGCTGAAGGACGGCGCAACAGGCGTTACCTTTCGGCTCTAGTTTGAACGCTGCTATGTTTTCTTCTTCTTCTTCTTCTTTTTTTTTTTTTTTGGGCAAAATAGGGCAGCTGATGGGAAAAGGTCTAAAATATCGTTTGTTCAACAAATTTGAGGCATAGGTCCTCCCCTAATAGCATGTGAATCCCAAGTGTCGTTCATTATACAAACCTGAAGATTTTCTTGGCCTATGAGTTGCACAAAAAAGAAAAAGGATTGAGAAATTACCACTAAAAAATGACGGTGAACATTACTCTCTCCCATGATTACTGTGAAGTATGGCTTTCCTTCAAATGGAACAATGCTCGCTCGTGTCATTGGCACAGAAGCAGCTCCAGGAACTTGAGAAGCTAGGGTTTCAAGCTGAATAGTTCGGGGTCCAAGAACAGCATCCACCGCCTGAGGAGCAACCTCAGCACTACCCGTGCCGAAAGCCATGCCTTGAGCAGTTGTGGAGATAATCCCTCCAAGCATGGATCCATCACCCTGGACAGGAGCTGGAGGAGGAGAATGATTTACGGCTGCTTGAGGGGGATTCATCACAGGAGCAGGCTGTGGAGCAGCCGGAGGAGCAGGTTTTCCTGCACAGCTACGGCGATGCATGGCTTCGAGAAGTTAACGATTCAAGAACTGCCAGACCAACCAAAGAAACCTTATGTGATTACGTAGCTAAAGCCCATCAAACAAAGGCTTGCAATTGGACAAGACAAAAGGGAAGATTTTGTCCTAAAATAGTTTGGTTTTGGTTAAATGTCAATTAATTGACTGACACACGCCAGAAAATAGAACTCTGCTTTTTCACTTTTATTTCCGGTATTGTATTAAATTAATTGACTGACACACGCAAGCACAAAAACCAACCTACACAGGCTGATTTGAAACTTTTTGGACAAGGCTATCGTTCTTGTTTTGGAATGTCCAAATTGTCACCCAGTTGTCTTTAAATATACATATTTAAAAGATATTTCATATAAGGTGAATAATATACATAAATTTAATTAATACATATAGAGCTTTAAATGCCCAAAGGGATAGAATTAATGTTAAACCTACCATACAGTCAAAATTAGGTCGTTTGATCAAAATATTCTGATTCAATTTGCTTTAAGAAAAATGTTACACATGATTAACAAATCAAAATTTATATTACACTCATTTTAAATCAAAGTGACTAACAAAATGTATAAAATTGAAGCTTAAGCAGTCATTTCTGTCCTTGGACTGATCAAATTGAAAATCAAGCATCAATCTTCATTCAGAACATCAACCAAACATTCGAAAAAGGAAAAAATATAAGGAAACTGGAACATTAGATCATACCATAGAATCCCTTGCCAATGGTTGTCCCGGACACATCAACGAGATCTCCCTCCTTGAATATCTCTTCAATTACGAGCCTCTGCCCTGGCTCGAAGCCCTCGATGGACTGGTGACGCCGGAGCGTCTATTTACAACACTGGAGCACCTTCTTATGGCAATTCTAATTGCTGGTGTAGCTCTGCGTGTATCCATTAGCTCTGTTTTACGTTTATGTGTATAAATAGTTTCTCTTTAGTAGAATAAGACAAATTTTGAGATTTGAATTGTAAAAGGAAATATTTCCTGTGCTAAATAAAAGCTCTGTTCTCTCCCTATTCCTCTGTTTTCTTTCTGTATCCTGACCGGACGGTGCAGGTGGTGAAGAACAGACGAGGAGCGAATGACGCTAGTAATCATCCAGCGGCTTGGCCGGCCTTATTTGGTATCAGAGCGTGGGCAAGATGCCTCCTCGCCGGAATCCTCAACGTCCAGTCCATGAAGTAGTGATCGAAGAGTTGCGGCGAGAGATTCATCAGCTGCAGCAACAACTAGCAAGAAGGGGATATCGAGATCCAGTGAATCACCAAGAAGGGGAAGAAAACGTCAATCCATTCCATCAAGAACTGTCCAGCGACGAAGAGGGCCATAGGAGAGGTCCAGTTCGTGGCAGAGAGACGACCAGGGACGACAGTGGAGTGAAAGTAGAACTTCCAGAATTTGATGGTCGGATGGATCCAGATGAGTTCTTGAATTGGTTGCACACTGTAGAACGTGTTCTTGAATATAAAGAAGTTGCTCCTGATCGAATCGTAAAACTGGTGGCCATCAAATTGACGAAGAATGCTTCGTTGTAGTGGGAAAATCTGAAGCGCACACGGTTGCGGGAAGGCAGAAGTAAAATCACAAGCTGGGATAAGATTGAGAAGGAGTTGCATCGCAAATACGTAACTGAGCATTACCGGCAAGAGCTGTTCTTGAAATTGCACCGGTTGCAACAGCAGCAACGAACGGTGGAGGAATATGTGGCTGAGTTCGAACAATTATCTTTAAAATGTGATTTAAATGAACCACTTGAGAATACCATTGCATGGTTCATTGAAGGCCTTCAGCCATCAATTGCTCATGTTGTCCAGCTGCAATCTTATTGGACTTTGCAGGATGTTATCAACCTAGCCTTGAAAGTGGAAAAACAACAGAAAGGTCACAAGCCAAATTTTCTCAGATCACGTGATAATGGCGCTGAAAGAAATAATCCAGCCACTCGTCCTATAAGTGAGGGAGCTTCGGCGTCATCCGAAAATCATCCTGCTACTAATCGACCTCCTATCCGTCAGCCTACGGGGGTGTTCGCGCGAAAATGTTTCAAATGCCATGGGTTTGGGCATATTGCTTCAAATTGCCCAACTCGACGAATGATCACCCTCATTGAAGAAGAAGAGAGGGAGTTCGCTGAGACATCCCATACTGAAAACCATATTACAGAAGTTAGCAGCTCTCCGAGTGAACCCACTGTTATAGGAGCAGATGAAGGAACTCTCCTGATTCTTCGGAGAATGCTTAGTGTGCAGAAACAAGAGCCTGCACAACGCCACAGCCTTTTCAGGACAAGGTGTACAGTGCAAGATCGTGTCTGTCAAGTAATAGTAGACAGTGGAAGCTGTGAAAACATTGCGTCGGCTACTTTGGTAGAGAAGTTAAACTTACCAACAGAAGCTCATCCCAAACCTTACAAGCTGTCTTGGGTCCAGCGGAAGAACGAGTTAGAAGTCTCACAACGATGTCTTGTTAATTTCTCTATCGGCAAGTATCAAGATCGCGTATGGTGCGATGTGCTTCCTATGGACGCTTGTCACCTATTACTAGGAAGACCCTGGCAATATGATCGACAAACGGTGCACGACGGAGTCAAAAACACCTATTCTTTCATTCAAGCGGGGGAGCCGATTGTTTTGCTCCCCTTAACCACATCACAAGATGAAGGACATGCCGATCAATTTATCATTAACAAGTCTGAATGCCATCTAGCCCTTCAAGAAACTCACAAGTGTTACTTGATTATCCTCAAGGAAGTGGGGAAGGAGATCTGTTGCCAACCCACCGAAGTTCAACCACTAGTAGCAGAATTTCAAGACGTCTTTGCTGATGAATTACCTACGGGATTGCCACCACTCCGAGATATTCAACACGCCATGGACTTGATGCCCGGAGCTTCCTTACCTAATCGGCCTCCATACAGGCTTCGACCTGAAGAGCATGAAGAATTGAAGAGACAAGTGGAAGGACTGCTGGCCAAAGGGTTCATAAGACCAAGTGTCAGTCCATGTGCGGTGCCGGCTTTGCTTGTGCCCAAGAAGGATGGAACTTACAGGATGTGTATAGATAGCCGGGCGGTGAATAAAATCACTATCCGTTATAGATTTCCCATTCCTCGGATTGATGATCTCTTTGATCAATTTCAAGGGGCGAGTTTCTTTTCCAAAATAGATTTACGCAGTGGCTACCATCAGATCAGGATTCGAGAAGGGGACGAATGGAAGACAGCCTTTAAAGTCAACGATGGTCTTTTCGAATGGTTGGTAATGCCTTTCGGCCTCTCCAATGCCCCGAGTACCTTCATGCGATTAATGAATCAGGTATTCCAACCTTTCTTGTGTAAATTTGTGATCATATACTTCGATGATATCCTTGTCTACAACAACGACATCCGAAGTCATTTACAACACCTCAGGCAAGTGCTAGAGGTATTAAGAGAACAAAGGTTCTTTGGCAACCTTTCCAAATGCCAATTCCTGAGCCGACGCACCAATTTCTTGGGATTTATATTATCGGCAACTGGCATTGAAGTCGATCCTGAAAAATTTGAAGCTATTGTGAGCTGGCCGACACCTCAGTGCTTCACCGATGTTCGGAGATTCCATGGCCTGGCTTCATTCTACCGTCGATTCATCAGAAACTTTAGTACCATTGTTGCTCCCCTCACAGAAGTATTGAAAGCTAATAAATTCATATGGACAATTCAGGCTGAAAGCAGTTTCAAATGCCTTAAAGAGCAAATGACGACGGCGCCATTACTTAGACTCCCTGATTTCAGCAAGCTATTCCAAGTCGACTGCGATGCCTCCAATGTAGGCATTGGAGCAGTATTAAGCCAAGAAGACCAGCCTATAGCTTATTTCAGTGAAAAATTGAATGAAGCACGTCAAAAATATTCGACTTACGATAAGGAATTTTATGCAATAGTCCGGGCTCTTCACCATTGGAGTCACTATCTCTTAAGAAAGGAGTTTGTTCTATTTTCCGATCATGCCGCTTTAAAATTTCTCAGTAGCCAGAAGAAGCTTCGCGGACGGCATGCGACATGGGCTGAATCTTTAGCCGCATTCCACTTTGTGTTACAACACAAATCAGGCAAGCAAAACCAAGTAGCAGACGCCTTAAGTAGGCGCCATGTACTGGTTCAGGAAATGCAAGCTCAGCTTGTGGGCTTTGATTTTATCCGAGAATTATATGCACAGGATGTAGATTTCAGCAATATATGGCAGAAATGTCAAAACTTGGCTTACCAATTTTTCCACATCCGAGAAGGATTCTTATTCTTCCACAACTGCCTTTGTGTGCCTAGATGTTCTCTCAGGACTGTTCTCATTTCAGAATGTCACGATGGCGGCTTGGCCGGCCATTTTGGGCGTGACAAGACCTTGTTCTTGCTCAAGGAAAAATTCTATTGGCCTGCTATGACCAAAGAGGTAAACAAATATGTACAGAGTTGCAGAATTTGTCGGCAAGCCAAGATAACCGGAACCAATGCCGGTTTGTATTTGCCGTTACCAGTTCCTCAAGGTCCTTGGGAAGATGTATCCATGGACTTCGTGCTAGGACTGCCCCGAACACAAAGAAACAAAGATTCTATCATGGTGGTCGTGGATAGATTCTCTAAGATGGCGCATTTTGTTGCTTGCAATAAGACTCTTGACGCCACTCACATTGGTGATCTCTACTTCAGAGAGATAGTTCGGCTTCATGGCATCCCTAAAACTATCACTTCTGATAGGGATGTCAAATTTTTAAGTCATTTTTGGAAGACTTTGTGGGGAAAAATGGGGACTCGATTGCAATTTAGCTCGGTCGCACATCCTCAGACGGATGGCCAGACCGAAACTGTCAATAGAAGTCTGGGCAATCTTCTTCGCTGCTTTGTCGGAAAGAACGTTAAGCAATGGGATTTAATTCTAGCTCAAATCGAATTTTCATTCAACCGATCACCAAACAATACTACTCGACACAGTCCCTTTGAAATTGTTTAC